ATTATTAAATAAATTTTGGCGTTTTGGTGATATCATTCAAAATTGTTTCGTCATTTGCATTTTGTAATATCTGTAATATATATATTTTTTAAAACCCATTTTGCCAAAGGATGCATATTATCAATTAATGTAATTATATACAGATAGTTTCATGCCTTTTTCTCTCTCTCCCTTAGAAAATGCGAGAAAGACAACTAGAGAAAGAGAGAAGCAAGTACATATTGACTTTACATCTCATATAATATCTTCTTTAGATTTTCCAGAAAATCATTCAACAATTATTGGAATTGTGATAAAGTCTGAAACGTAATTTTTATCTTTAACCATTCTTGTCTTGATAGATTTATGACCTGTCGCTCTGTTTTGTCTGTTGTTTGTTTCATTCTATTGAAATCCTTTAGCAGTGCTGCATTCTGTTTCCGTTTTTGTCTCTCAATCGGACAAAGGCATCGATTGTTGTTCGTTGCAAACGCGTGTCTGCTTCTTTTCACGTTCCCCAACGTAACAGCAATGTATTCTTTTGTAATCACAAATACATAGAATTTTTTTCCAGTGGTAGTAACAGTGGCAATAGAAAAGTTGAGAACATTTAACAGTATTTTTAATTCGTGAATCGAATTCCTTGCAACTAACATGTTTTAATAATTCGGTCAAAGAAATTTATAATTTTAAATAGCAGTCCATCCATTCTGAAATGTATTATGTTGAATGAAAAATGTATCCTTCTCATTGTTCTAGATTTTCAAAAAGACAGGACCTGTTGTAAAAAAATGCCTTTTCAGTTCTAATCTAACAAATCTTAAATTTCATATTTTTGGCCTGGTTGCGAATAAAAAAATAAAAAAAGAATTGCTTGCAACTAAGTTTTGCGTGTCACAATCATTGAATGTCATAAAGAATGTTGTCATAAAGAATCATTAAGTGATCCGTAGATAGTGATGTAGTCATGGTGCCGGAATGGGCTTAACCGCACACAGTAGACTGGCTGGGAGTAACTGACGAAATAATAGCGTGAATAAAATGTTTTAAGATTTGTAACAGGACAACTTACTTAATCAGAAATTATGTGACAGTAGTATCTTCAATGTGATAGTAAATTAATTAATGTATAACAAATGTATTTTGGGGTTGTATAGAAACTGTTGCGCCTACTATAGTGTCATAAACACGAGTATGGTAGCACACGAGAAAATAAACGAAGCTATAAGTATTGGCTGTCGGGCGAAAGGAAAAGCAGATCAGAAATTTTAATATAAAATTATTTGTATTTCCGATGCAGAGGATGTGAGCGGATTGTCTTTTTGTGGGTAAGGGAAGCGACTTGTAGGAAGAGTAGAGTTAGTAGGTCCTGGAATTATCCGAGTCGGTTGAAAGATGCCAGTTTCATGGTTAACTTCAGCTTTCCCGTTTGCCTCTCCCAGTCCTTTATGAGCAGCTTTCTTAAAAGTAAATGTGGTGGCTCCTAAACTCATCTTTTGTTCATGTTTTTCTTTAGCGGTAATCTTCGTAATTGTATTCTTTTATGTTGTAATTTATATTTTTGAGGGGATCTGTTTTGTGGGCATCAGATCCGATGCTCGGAGAACCTGTGCAGAGGACAATTTTTGTGTTTGGTTTTGCCTTCTTAGCGTTCACATCAGGTGGACATGTAGAGTAAATCAGAAAGAGCGGAGTATAATAATAGGTAAGTATGTAGGTCCATATAAGCTTATTAACATATATTACTACTACTGCTGCTAATAACTAGTGATAATCGGGGAAATTTCAAGGCATTCCTATTTTAAATTTCAGATTAATCATAATTCTTAATTTGAATGCTAGAATAAGGTCATTGCAAGTTCTTCGGCAACAAAATATCCGTGGTAATACCCATTTTGCATCATTAAATATTTGAACTTAACTACTCAATATTGCAATAACAATCATAAGTATGAATGCAGACTATTATTTAAAGAAGTAAGAGGGTACAAATGAAAAGATTAAAAATTGCCGAGGTTTTCGATTTCCCTGAAACAAACATTAATCGCATGCCTTGTCGCCTCCTCCTCCTTCCCTTTTTTGCTTCCTTTCCTTACTTGATTCTTTTATATGATTTCTTTTTCTTACTAAAACCAAACATCTCATTTCTTTATTTTTACCTTTCATCACAAACAAAACGGAATGGTTCATTATTTATCCGGGGCAATAGCAAGGCGGAACGCAAGTGCCATCTTAGTAACTAACGAAGGAATAAATAGAATTATAATATGATGGTGCATATTTCTGGTATACCCTTATGGGACTGGGTTTCATGATGAATATATTAGGCTTCCTATAGCTGTATCCCAGCGTCCCTTTTGTTGTCTCAATTAATAATGACAATCTGCTGAGTGGTAAATTATGAGCTTAAAATTCCTTTAATCTTGATACAATGATTCATTTTACAGTTTGACAATACTAGCATAACTATTAATATTACTTATGTGTATAGGTGAAATGATATAGGAAAGTTGTTAAGGTCAGTCTCACTAGTTTCGATATTGAAGCAATAACATTCGGTTCCATTGTGAAATCGACCTTGATGGACAAGCATGAATGACTCTTTGCAGTAGCGAGCTTTTGACTCGCTAGCTTTATTGCTGAATTTCATTATGTATCGTGAGGCTGAAAAGACACGTAGATTTGTAACTGGGGCCCGTGTAGGTCAGATGAGACAACGTAATTTAAACAGCCGGAGAAATGATGCATTACATCGTAATGCCTCTTATTTTTTTTTTAATCTCTTTGGATGTAATCGCTATTATTGTCGCTATTTTTGCTAAAGTTTTTAGTTTTTGAACGTAGTTTTTTGTATTTAGTTCTAGGTGCTGTATTTCGTGGGTCTAAATTAACGACTTGAAATTAAAATAATATCTATTAATTTCAGTTAATCCTAACATTGATGATATCATAGGATTTTGCAAATGAAGTCTTTTCTTTTATTTTTCAATTCAATTGTTTTTGTTCGGCCATGCTTAATAAATGTTTTCTCACGATATGCCAATCGACCATATTTCTGTTCGTGAGTTTTCGATGCTCACTTTTACAATCGTAGAAACATCTATTTCGTCAGAGAATGAATAAGAAAATAAATAAAACTATTAATAAAAAATGGAAACTAATGAATCATATGAAAAGGGAAAATATATATGTTGAAAATATATAAATAAAACATAAAAATATATTGTAATTGTTCATCGGCTTATTTAATAAGTACGAGCATCGATTTACGCTTGTCTCACTAAAATTCTAATTTTTCTTGAGTTAACGTGCATCTAGTTGCCGTTACACCAACCATCAGTCTATTAAATTCTTTAGGCTTAATATATTGATTTCTTTAACTGTCGGATTTCGTCAAAGTAAACTGGCAAGTTCCAACCAATGAAAGCATTATATCTAGTCAGATGTGTTTTTGTCTTAGGGAATGGCTTAAATCGTACTTAGGTTTTGATGAGCGCGTAGGTGGGAAATCATTTAGAAAAGTTATCAATTAATTTATCTTATTTTCTATGCACGCATTTTTTATTACCATTAATGCAACTCTTTTGCGAATGTTTATTGTATTCCGAGAGCATATCTCTGTTGATTGTAGACGAGGTTGAAATGAATAATACATTGTGATAGCGACAGTTAAGATTCTCGAAACAAAATTAATAAAGACAACTTGTTAATTACTTAACATACAATTTATATCTACAAATAATGTTAAAGCTATGAATTTTACTTCCATTTCAGCATAAAAGCAAGCAGAAAATTAGTAAAGGAATTTTTTTTGATGTTTTTGTTGTTTTAGAGTGTATATTTAATTTACAACACTTATTTAAATTCCCATCGCTCTTGTGATCTTAAAACTACATCGCCAGATGAAATATGGTGCTTACCAATTTCCTTCACAGTAGTATGCTGGCGATAGTGGGCTTTATTAGGAGATAATTATTGTCTCTTTATTTATATTGATTTTCCAAGCGAAGCTTAGATGTGGCACAAGGCCGAAAGTATGGGGCACACAGTAAAGATCGAACACCGTCTCGGAGTGCCCCTGTCTATTTATAGCGAAACTTTGCGACGCATTATTCATCATATTTTGTCTACATGAACATTCTGAAAACTTATACTTCGTCTAAAATATTTTAAAATCTCATGGTTCTAGTTCAGATAAATGCTACTTTTTAGTTTGGGGAAACAAATCATTTTGAGAAAAATAATCTCGCGTTAATATTTTCAGTTATGGTTAGAAAGTTTACGTCACTTTTCGCAGAGACAGATTTCAAAATTATCCCCACTGCCCATAATGTTTACACAAAGCTAAACCTCACCTTTCTTCTACATGCTGTATATATTTGCAAAATATATAAAACAAATTCATTCTGAAATTGTAACTTTCAGTCGATTTTATGTTGATTTTCTAAGCGCAGTTTAGATGTGGCAAAAATATCACAACCTCAGTTACTTCAATGATGAAGACAAACACAAAAGACATCTAAAGCTTCTGCTATTTATTTGGATATCTATAAGGCTAACGACAAGGCAACTGGATATCTATAAGGCTAACGACAAGGCAATTGGATATCTATAAGGCTAACGACAAGGCAACTGGATATCTTTAAAGCAAATAATTGTTAAGGCAACTGTGGGCGAAATAGTCAACAAAATCATGTCAATACGAAATCATTATTATACCAAAATTCAGGTTTAAAATATTTCTTACTACCAGGCCAAATAGTAAATAGTTATTGAATTTATTTTAATTTTTGTCCAAGTTCATTTAAGAATCCCAGAAAATATTGTTTAACGGGAAAATGATGTACGATTATTTGATGAATTTAATATTATCATATCAAAGAGGGTTTTTTTCTTTCTTTCAAAGATATTCAAATAGAAGATCGGCGTTCACACACATTCGTTTTATTAATATTTTTCTTTTATGTATAATTGGATGTGTAGAAAAATTAACAATGATATAGAAAGAGAGAGAATGAGAGTTATATTGAGGGGAGAGAAAGATTATTAAAGAAGAGAAAATGAGAGTGGGTAGATGAGAGAAGTAAAGAGGTGAAGAGAAAGGTTAATGAACAGATAGTGGAGATATTGAAGAGTAGGGGTAGGGAAGGAGAGAAAAGTAGTGAGGGTGTATGGAAGTGATGGTGAGTGTAGGGAAAAAAACAGGAGAGGAGAAAGTGAGAATTGAAAAATAGAAACCAGCAGAAAGGTATTTGGGAAGGAGAGGAAAATAGAATGAAATAAAGGGTAGTGAAGGAGAGATAGATAGATAGATAGATAGATAGATAGATAGATAGATAGATAGATAGATAGATAGACCGAAAAAGAGAGAGAGTGAGAGGAGTAGATTGAAGGGGTAGAGAAGTAAAGACAGGGAGAAGGTAAAAAGAGAGTACTGAAGGAGAGAATGCAGGGAGAAATAGTGGAGAACGTGTAGGGGGGTGAAGGAGAGAGAGTTTCAAGTCTAAAATTCTGTGTATTTATTTTCGGATTGAATTTTGTATTTATGTGACTGCGTTCTAAACAAATAAAAGCCTACGTTCAAAGGTAAGAGTAATGAATATAGAAAAAATAAGTAGAATTTGAAGAGGGGAGAAAATAAAGGAATTAAACAGAATTTGCCATGTACATTGTATTTCTGTAACTCAAAGTTGCAGAGTTTTTATCATGCAGTAATTGTTTTTGATATTGTACCAATCATGGTTTTACGAGAAAAAGTCATTACTGAAATTTATCTATGGCGAAAGACTAGATTTGACAACTATATTTTAATGCTGTAGAAACATATTTGGAATATTTCCATTGAATAACATGGGTTTCTTTCTTACTAAAAGAGTAAAGAAATTAAGATAATTTATGACAATTGAAGTTTTGGCGTGAAGAGTATCGAAAGACTGATTCCCTTGAAATGAATAAGTAAAAATGAATTAATAGATAGATTTCTGTTAAAACCTTTGGATAGCATCATTCAATTAAGTGTTGAATAATATAGACATAATAACTATGGTGTCACTTTTATTTTTGTTTGTAATCTATGAAATGATTTGATCATAAAAAAAATCATTGTTCTTTTTTTTTTATTAGGCAATTGTTGATATTACAATTACACAAAAATATGAAATATTGTTCCCTGTGTATACTATACATAACTAGGTGCATATGTATTTACATGTACGTGCATCTATATTATTGCAATATATCCAACTACATACTAAATATCTATCCTAAGGCATTTTTATAAATATAAATTTATATTTGCGTTCAACGAATCGTATGTGAATACATTGATGTTTCACATTATGAAATGTACAAATTCCGACAATTATTTTAAGACATTTTTATGTTTGTACATTCTTTTTATAGATACAAATATTTAAGTAAATGCTCTGTTTATAATAAACAGTATTAAACAACATTTACCGGCCTGAATGTCCGAGAAATTTTCATAGAAAATATTCGTCCTCCGACAGTTGTTTAATACTGTTATAAAAAGAATGTATAAACATAAAAATGTCTTAAAACATTGAGGTTTATTATAATAGCACAATGTAACAAACCTTTTATTATATCGATAATTTTTATAATTCATATGGATGACTTTTACCATGGATACTTCAAGTTTGAATAAAATGAAACATTCATACATACAAATATTTAGCCTTCATTTGCTTCAATTTCCGCAGAGACTGAATAGTTTTTGACACAGCATAACGTGGGACTTCTAACATAAAACTAGATTACAGCAGCCAAAAGATAAGACTACAGTCTTATCTCTTGTGATTTTAAAATGATTCGATTTCCAAGAAACCTACAAGAAGATCATAGACAAAATTCCTCGCTTCGTTGCTTGGAAGATAGACATGGTCTCATCTCCTCAGCACTTCCGTAAAAGGTACTGTTCTTTAATGCCACCAGACAAGCAGAGTATGTAAAATGTCAATTCTTGGTAAGTTCCGAGAAATTACTTTTGCCTCCACTGGATATCAAACTTAAACTTTATGAAAGTATTCGAGCATGATGTTTTCATTATATTTGTAAGATTCTTTCATCAAAATATTTGAAGAAAGAACTACATTCAAAGAACGTCATAAATGCAATAGTTTTTGGAAACCGAATGAAAATTTGACATAGACTTTGAAAATTCATATCTATATTTTTTCCATTTTTATTTAAGTATCCTTAAGGTAATGATTGACATTATCAGCAAAACATATGAGGAAAAGATTTGATCAAAAAATATCAACTTTCGATAAAAATGTAAAATGTTTGAAAAAAAATGAAACAGTGATATCATTTCACAGACCACTTGTTTTGACTTTTCACTGATTAAAATGTAGCTATATTCTGGGTGTCCTCACACAATCACTAATGGGATGAAGAATTTCTTGTGTTGAGTTGGACGCACTCTGCTGTTTTGTGGCGAGAGTTTGTCAATTTTCTCTCTCATCACCCGAAGACAATTTTTTGATATCCAAAGTCGACACCGACGAGACATTTTTTCTCTCATGAGGGAATTTTATAATCATACCGTTCAGTTTCAGGTGAACTCGCAATTTCCGATGATAACTGACGTTGGTTTCTATTAAAATAGACTAAAATAAGTTTCCTTTTAAACAGTGACGATTTTTTATGTTTCTGAAGTACAAGTGGCTGCAATTATTCTTTTGCAGTTTTATAGTACTTAACGCCTGATCGAATGTTTAAAACGTTAGCATTCCAACCATGAGACTCTAGTTCAAATCTTACAACGGTCGGTTGATAATATCGGCCTGAAGAGAGAAGATTGTGAAACGCCTGAAAACCATATCACGGCTTATGACTGGAATTGGATAAACAAAACTGTTCGGTAGCCTTCGATAGTTGTACTACCACAAATCATCGGTGATCGAAGATTTCGACCTTTTTGACCGCGTCAGTTCATGCACTCTTTCTTAGAAAATATAACTCAGTATAAATCACACGTTGGCTCTTTTAGTGTTAAGAAACAGATTATTTCTGAGAAAGCGTTTGCAACAGGGATTAATTAACCACTTAAGTAGACTCCATAGTCTCCCGAGGCTGAGGGAAATGTACATTTTATAAAAATGTGTCAAATATCATTAAGATAAAGGTATGTAGCAATATTGCAATGACGAACACACACACGAATAAATTTTGTTTTAATAATTTTATTTTTAATAATTATTAATCTCGTCCAGTATTTTATTCAATTTTGCCCCACAGCAAGGTTTACTTGATTTCTAAATTAACAGCTTTTAGCAGGAAATCTAGGTTTCTCATCATTGGATTGTCTTCCACATTGTCATAATCGATCCATCTTCTGATCTATGTGCCCAGAAAATCATTTATTTCTCCCAACTCGAGCAGAATGCTGACTTCATGAAGGTCAGCCATTAATTTCCCTTCTTTTCATTGCTAATCTCAATACAAGTCACTTTGTTATTAATGTCTTACATTTTGCAACAGCGTTATCTCTTCCTGTCAAAAATCTGTTTTGTGTAGGAATACATTTCCTACTAATAAAAGGGAGTGATATCAAGTCTACAATATAAAAATTACAAAAAGGTTTCATGTAAAGCTGGAACAATATTTTAGGAATGTCATATAAGCTAAAAGTAAATAATAAAAAATGATAAGATAAGAGAAAGAACATGAATTGTAGAAGAAAAGTTAAAGAGCAAGCAAAATATGTCTGTTAAGAAATATGACGCCATTTATAATGATCGAGGATCATTCACTTATTTGCATTCTCTTATCTTATTTTGCCTCTAAGACATTACTTATGTTGATATGAAGAAAGTGGGAAGTTAATGCTTCGATGAAATGAAAAAAAATTGAAATGTTTTCTTTTGTTTTCATCAAATTTTATTTTCCGGATTGTCGAATCAGTGAAACGACATGAACAAACCTTGGGACTAATTTGAAATTCTAATCATGGCTATTTATATAGCAAAGGATCTCTTAAAACACGAATTCAATTTCCTAGAGCGCTGTATGATCATCAATTAACTCAACCTGAATCTTAACCATTTTCTATACAGGAAAGTAACCGTGGGTTTGTTTTTCACGCCTAACACACAATTTAAAAACTTTCTAAACTTTCTAACAAACTTTCTAATCACAAACACTTTACAGATAATCATACGTTGTTTAAAATTTGGAATAGTCAAAGAAAATGACTAGCGGTCAGTTACATCTCAGGTGATGCATCTGAATTGTTTGTTTCTTATTTTAGTATCTGAGTTAAGAAGCAATCAAAAAACATTACGCGCGTCTCGTACATATTTTACTGTTCTTTCCATGCGCTTTTAAGAGTTCGAGTGATTCGTTCGTCAATGTATAACCATATATAAGTTTAAACGTACTGTTCATCAAATTAATTCATCAAGAACATACAGTATTATTTCATATTGCAACAAATAAATTAATACACAAGATAAGATTAAAATTGCAAAATCCTATTTAAATGGATTTTATGATTATGTCTGCATATTTAAAGGGACAAATAATAAACGAAATAAATAGTTTAAAAATACAGTCTGCTGCAGAAATACCTTCCACATAAAGATAAGCCATTAGTGTCTTCATCGAACTAATATCTTACCATTATATGCCGGATGTATTTCTGCCGCACTCTGTATAAAGAGAAAACTATCTAACATAAAAAAACAAAAACAAAAAAAAATATTTTAATCGATAAGATACACGTATGTTTATTATTACTTGGTATTATTTTACTGTTTAAATTTCTTGGTGGGAAAAAGGAATTAAATTATTGCCTTTTTATTATTCCTATAAAATGGCACCCAGGGACCCGTTTTGATGTGTATCGTTGATTTTATTTTTAAGCTTTTGATTTTATTATCTCGCATATAATTCAATACATAAAATTCTTACCTGGTTAGAAAGACAGACGAGAGATTCTTGACTCCTAATACTATTCTCTTTTTTTTTGTTGCTTTTCTTGCCATATCGTCCTTTTCCATCTGTTTGCCATTGACAAGTTACATTTGACAAGTTTTATTCATTCAAAAACTTTTAATTGCGCAGTTAAAGGCTATTAATTTTCCTCTCTGTTTTCTATTTTTTTTTAATAAAGGCGAGAAACTGATTTTCCTATCAGAACACCACGAGAAAATTGCGAAAAAAGAGGACATTTTCTCGAAGGGAGTTCCTGGAACTTTAATCTGATTCATAAACAAGACAAAAGAAAAAAAGGAAGAATAATGAAAGAAAACAAACGAGAAAAATATGACGTAAAAGAAATGTGGCACGTCGAAAATGAGAGTCTACTATGTCTTAGAAATATAATAGTCTGAATTATTATGGACCAAACTTATATTTCTAGGAACGTCAATTGTTGGATAAATGTTTTAGTAGTAGAAAAGATTGGATTGTCAGTAGAAATAAGAAAGGTGAACAGACGTTCTCAGATTTTGACCTCTAACCCGTCATGAAAACACACCAACGAGTGCACAGGATCGCCTCGTCAGTGATATTATGACTTGGGGTCATGACAAGTTTCGGGTCTTGCAACATCCTACTTGTTCGCCCAAGAGACCCTACCGAAAAAGTACTATCCCGGCAGGCGATCCTGAAGCAAAAACTTCGCCAAGCACGCAACAAATGGACACAAATGAACTGCTGATCTTGAAATTTAAAGCGACCAATCATTAACGACTTACGTCACTTCCTCCTTCAGCCAAGACGATACAAAAAAGAATAGACAGTATGTTCGTCTTTTTTTTCCATCTTAGGTCCACCACGCGGAAAGACACATATTCTCAACGAACAGTTTGACATAACAGGTAAGTAATGGCAAGTTTCCTTTCATATGAAGAATCGTTGCTTAAAAAAAAAAAAAAAAAAAAAAAATCTTGGTCTTAGGAATTATGAACAGAAACATTCCTTGCTTTCTTTTCCTTCTACCACCATTTCTTCTTCCCATTTCTTTATTTTACACTC